GGGGGAGGTGAGGGCTGGAGGGGGGGTCTGCCATCACCGTGTCCCCGCAGAACCCACCACGCTCACTGTACAGTATTTTTTTGCCCGCAGGGCTGGCTGGGGAGAGCTGGCTGAATTCACAGGCACTGGCAGGAGCCCTTGGGGGAGCTGAAGGTATCGGATGGGGGAGGATGGGATGTCATGGCTGTGCAGAGCGGCTTTGACTCCTCTTGCATCAGCAACACTGGACGGGAAGGCACAACGCTGAGCCAGGGAGCACCAAACCTGCCCACATATCTTCTACAGACACAGTGCTTTGCAAAGCAGCTTTTGCCTGCTTTCTTAGGCTGCCTGGTACTGGGGTGTGGAAACCAGATGGATGCCCTACCCCATGCCTCCGTCTCTCAGGCACCTGAAGCGTTGGTAGGGACCGGGGAGGGGGTGGTGGAGCTGGAGCTGCACATGGCTGCACCTCCTGCAGTGTCCTGCAAGGCAGGGAGAGGTTTCTTAGCTCACAGGAGCCAGGCTGGACCTTGCAGCCAGCAGCACATGGCCCTGGGTGCTGGCACACATAGGAGGGAATGCCCTGATCCTCAGCCCTCCATCCTCAGCCCTTTGCAAGTCCCCGCACCCCTCCTTCCCTCCCACAGCAGGTCCTGGTACTTTCGCACCAGGCATCATCCCCAGCATCTTCCTGCCCCCATGTCCTAATGGGGAGTTAGACACACGTTACAACTCTCTAGCAGTGAGAACAATTTGTCACTGCAGTAAACTACTGGGGGCAGAGCCTTTCGGTAGACGGAGCCTGGATGCCTTGGTGGAAGAGAGGGCTTGCCCAAACACAGGCTGCAGGGTGCTATGCAGAAGGGTGACTGGGTGAATTCAAACAGGTCCAGCCCACGTGATGCACTGGGATCACGGGACACCTCTTCCTGAGCGTACGGGATGGCTAGGACCACACGGGGCTGGCAGAGCAGAGTAGCTCCAGCAGTGGATGGAGTAGGACTGCTGGAGTAGTCCTGGGTAGGACTGCCCAGCCGTTTGGGGGGGATCTCATCTCTTCCACCGAAGTGCTGCTGCAGACAGCTAGCGCTCAGCTTTTCTCATGATGCATGGTCACAGGCCATGAGACCTGTTTTCAGGGAGTAGGGATGCAGTTGCCACTGCAGCCATGCAGGGACCAGTCTGTACGCACAGTCAGCACTGACAGCACACGGGGGCTGCAGCCAGCCGGCGGAGGAGGAGGAGGGAGCGGCGGGGGGCTGTGAAGCAAGGCGCTATTTCTGAAAGGTGGGGGGTAGCGATGCTGTAAATCCCCTCCAGTCCCTCCTTCGGCTGGGTTTTGGTTGTGTCAGGACTGCAGAGCTGGAGGGCTCGGCCAGGGGCAGTGCTGCTGGCACATGCTGCAGCAGGGTTAGGTCATCTTCCTGGCAACGCTGGCGTAGGTGTGCTCTATCTCTTCATCTGCAGGACACGTGTGGCTGAACTCATCGCAAGCATAGGCGTTGTTGAGGTAGCGCCAGACGCCTGTCATGTCCGCTGGGATCTCAAAGTCACGGTACTTTTTGGCTGCAATCTAGAGAGGAGAGGAGGGGGAGGCTGAGACTTCCCAGACCTGGGGAAGATTCGTTCTCTGGCTTGGGGGGGGACACAAATACGGGACCCCCAGCCCCCTGTTTGCATCACCCCATCCTATCACCCCCACTTGGAGTGGGTGCCCCCACCTTGGCCCTGGGAGCCAGTGCCATTACCTTGATGATATGCAGTTTGGGCAGGAGGTTGCAATCAGCCAGCGTCAGGTGGTCTCCATCCAGGAATTTCCTCTTGGAGACGGTGATGTCCTCCACGCTGTCCTGGTCAATCTCCTCAGGGAGAGGAGTGTTTAGGTAGACATCCAGCCGCTGAAACTCTCGCAGCAGGGCCTTCTCAAAATCTGGGTGGGCAGGGAAACAAGTGCAGTTAGCCTGGTGCACTGGGCTCCCAGCACAGCCCAGGGTTGTGCCAGGGTGGCTGAGTCTCTCCCAGGCTTTGCGTACAGGGACAAAGCCCTCAGGGCCACACTGGTGGTGTACAGCACTGCACCCTGGCCAGAGTCTCTGCTCCCAGGGATCCCAGCAGCATCACTCCATGCTTCCCTCCAGGACCCACTCTCCCCAGTGCCTGCACACAGGGTCGTTAGCCCTGTGGAGCACAGGACTGCCTTCACCCTTCCTGCCCGCTCCTCCACTTGCCAAGGAGGCTTTGGTGGGGAAGGCAGAAGGAACCCTAACCTGGTGGCAGGATTTGTGTGCAGACAAAAGCATCTCTTCCCCCCACCAGCCTGGCAGATCACAGTCCCGCAGCCCCCACCCACATTTCTTACTAATATTTGCTTCCTTGCGTGGGTTCTTAATGTACGCCGAGAACTTGGCAAAGATGTCACTCCCCACGTCAAAGGACTCCTTGTACTTGGGGCTCAGGTGTGGATACCTTTAAAGAGACACTTATATCAGTGCAGGCAAGGATGGAGGCAGAGATTCAGATGCGTGGTCCTCATCTGCGGTATCTCCTGGGCCATGGTGCCCAGGGCTGGTACTGGAGGATGCAGGTGATGTTCAGCTGAATGTGGGAGAACAGTGATGCTTTAAATTACTGCAGCTGCCACCCTGGGAGCTATATTATCTTGGGTGTTTGGTAGGGGAAAATCACAGGGCAGAAACTCCATGGTTTGGGGACAGTGGTGGCAGCAGAGCCCCGGAGCAGAGCTCTGCCTGCAGGCAGCTCTGGCCCAGCCCGGAGGATGCATGTTGGCATGGGACGGGTGTGCGGAAGCCAGAAGCTCCCATGACTTCCTCAGGAACAGTCTCTTGTTTGCTGATGCGTCCCAGGGCGCACTGCAAGGGCAGACACGTCTGAGGAGGTACATGACGAATGCATTTGAAACTTCCTCTTTTGCACGCAGCGGGAGGGCTTGCAGCCACGCAGGCCACGGGGTGGGCTGGCTGGCTTGGCGGGCTGCGCGCAGTGCCCTGCATGAGGTCAGGGGGGACCGCCCCCCCCCAGCAGCCCTTTGGGCCAGCTGTGCTGCTGCATTCAAGCAAGGGCATTTGCTTTCGCTCAGCTGAGTGCACTGGATACAAGCGGGCAAAGGGGGTCTCAACGTCCCCCCCTCTGCCTCAACACCAACTGCCACAGCCAGCTGCAAAACCACCAGCTCCCGGGGGGGTCCCTGCACCTGCAGGGACCTTCCCCCACTCTTCATCTCCCCCCCAGGCATGCCTGAGCCAAGGGACCGGTGCATTTCCTCCCATTGTTTTCCATTTTAGCCTGTCCCTGTCCCCTCGCAGCCCGACCCACCGCCTTCCCCGGGGGGATGGAGCCCTTCGGCATCGCAACCCCTGGCCGTTCAGAGCGTGGCTCAGGGTGCTGGGTGGGGAGCCAGCCCCCTCCCTGAGCTGCTCTCAGGCACCTCCTAGCACCCTGCCCCAGTTTCCCAATCTGCCAAGCACTATGCAATACTGCGGCGTGCCCGCCGGGCCCCGAAAGGGGGAAGGAGCAAGCTTGCAATTACGTGGGTGGGCCCAAGGTCTGCTCCAGGAACTCCTCGATCTTAATGAAGTCTGTTTTCAGCTCCTTATTGAACAGCAAGAAGGGTGGGTTGGTGCCCGGCGCTAAATCTTTCAACTCTTCAGGTTTCCTGGGAGTGGAGAAAATAAGTGGGCTCAGAGCCTGCAGCCTGTCTGCACCCGTCAGCCTCCCTGGGGCAAACAGACAAGGCTGAGGTGGGTGTGTGGGAGGGGGCACAGGACCGGGAGCATCCCCACTTGCACACTCTGCTGGGTTTGGGGGGCTGAGAAGTGTCCTCCAGCCTCTCGGTCTGCCCTGTGGTGTCTCAGACTCGTACCTGCATCCAGCAGGACAGGGGGTCCCTGTGCCATGCACGTGTTGGCACGTGGCTGGAGCTCCGTGCTGGCCCACCCCCTGCACCCCATGGTGTGATGGGCAGTGTGTGGGCAGGGACTGTCACCCCTGTCCCTCTCACGGTGGCATGCTGGCTGCAGGGCCCGGGGCGGGGGGGGGG